CAACAAAGAGGGACAGTTTGACTTCTTCCTTGCCAATCAGTTTGACTTCTTCCTTGCCAATCTGGATGCCTTTTATTTCTTTGTCTTGTCTGATTGCTGTGGCTTGGATCTCCAGTACTATGTTGAATAGAAGTGGGGAAAGTGGGCATCCTTGTCTTGTTCCCGATCTTAAAGGAAAATCTTTCAGCTTCTTCCTGTTAAGTGTGATTTTGGCTGTGGGTTTGTCATATCTGGCCTTTATTATGTTGAGGTAATTGCCTTCTATTCTCATTTTGTTGGGAGTTTTTATCATGAATGGATGTTGAATTTTGTCAAATGCTTTTTCAGCATCTATGGAGATGATCATGTGGTTTTTGTCCTTCTTTTCGTTGATGTTTTGGATGATGTTGATGGATTTTCGAATGTTGTACCACCCTTGCATCCCTGTAATAAATCCTACTTGATCATGATGGGTGATCTTTCTGATTTATTTTTGAATTGGGTTTGCTAATATTTTGTTGAGTATTTTTGCATGTGTGTTCATCAGGGATATTGGTCTGTAATTTTCTTTTTTTGTGGTGTCTTTGCCTGGTTTTGGTATTAGAATGATGCTGGCCTCATAGAATGAGTTTGGAAGTATTCCCTCTTCTACTCTTTGAAGAACTTTAAGGAGGATGGATGTTAGGCCTTCACTAAATGTTTGATAAAATTCAGTGGTGAAGCCATCAGGTCCAGGGGTTTTGTTCTTAGGTAGTTTTTTGATTACCAGTTGAATTTCATTGTTGGTGATTGTTCTGTTCAGATTTTCTGTTTCTTCCTTGGTCAGCCTTGGAAGGTTGTATTTTCTAGGAAGTTGTCCATTTCTTCTAGGTTATCCAGATTGTTGGCATATAATTTTTCATAGTATTCTCTCATAACTCTCTGTATTTCTGTGGTGTCCATAGTGATATTTCCTTTCCCATTTGTGATTCTGTTTATGTATGTAGACCCTCTTTTTTTCTTGATAAGTCTAGCTAGGGGTTTATCTATTTTGTTTATTTTCTGGAAGAACCAGCTGTTGCTTTCATTGATTCTTTCTATTATTTTATTCTTCTTGATTTTATTTAATTCTCTAATCTTTTTTTATGTCCCTTCTTCTACTGACTTTGGGCCTCATTTGTTCTTCTTTTTCTAGTTTCATTAATTGTGAGTTTAGACTTCTTATATGGGATTGTTCTTCTTTCCTGAGATAGGCCTGTATTGCAATATACTTTCCTCTTAGCACAGCCTTGGATGTGTCCTACAGATTTTGTGGTGTTGAATTATTGTTTTCATTTGTCTCCATATACTGTTTGATCTCTGTTTTTATTTAGTCATTGATCTATTGGTTATTTAGGAGCATGTTGTGAAGCCTCCACTTGTTTGTGGGATTTTTCATTTTCTTTGTGTAATTTATTTCTAGTTTCATACCTTTGTGGTCTGAGAAACTGGTTGGTACAATTTCAGTCTTTTTGAATTTACTGAGGCTCTTTTTGTGGCCTAGTATGTGATCTATTCTTGAAAATGTTCCATGTGCACTTGAGAAGAATGTGTATTCTGCTGCTTTTGGGTGTGGAGTTCTATAGATGTCTGTTAGGTCCATCTGTCCTAATATGTTGTTCAGTGCCTCTGTGTCCTTACTTATTTTCTGTCTGGTTGATCTGCCCTTCAGTGTGAGTGGAGTGTTGAAGTGTCCTAGAATGAATGCATTGCATTCTATTTCCCCTTTTAATTCAGTTAGTATTTGTTTCACATATGTAGGTGCTCCTATGTTGGGAGCATAGATATTTATAATGGTTATATCTTCTTGTTGGATTGACTCCTTTATCATTATGTAATGTTGTTCTTTGTCTCTTGTGACTTTCTTTGTTTTGAAGTCTATTTTTTCTGATACAAATACTGCAACTCCTGCTTTTTTCTCTCTCTTAGTTGCATGTAATATCTTTTTCCATCCCTTCACTTTTAGTCTGTGTATGTCTTTGGGTTTAAAGAGTCTTTTGTAGGCAGCATATAGATGGGTCTTGTTTTTTTATCCATTCTGTGACTCTATGTCTTTTGATTGGTGCATTCAGTCCATTTACATTTAGGGTGATTATTGATAGGTATGTACTTATTGCCATTGCATGCTTTAAATTCGTGGTTACCAAAGGTTCAAGGTTAACTTCCTTACTATCTAAGAGTCTAACTTAAATCACTTAATATGCTATTACAAACACAATCTAAAGGTTCTTTTCTTTTTCTCCTCCTGTTTCTTCCTCTTCCATTCTTTATATATTAGATATCATATTCTGTACTGTTTGTCTATCCGTTGATTGACTTTGGAGATAGTTAATTTAATTTTGCATTTGCTTAGTACTTAGCTGTTCTACTTTCTTTACTGTGGTTTTAATACCTCTGGTGACAGCTATTAAACCTTAGAAACACTTCCATCTATAGCAGTCCCTTCAAGATGGACTGTAGAGATGGTTTGTGGAAGGTAAATTCTCTCAGGTTTTGCTTATCTGAAAATTGTTTAATCCCTCTTTCAAATTTAAATGATAATCTTGCCACATAAAGTAATCTTGGTTCCAGGCCCTTCTGCTTCATTGCATTAAATACATCATGCCACTCCCTTCTGGCCTGTAAGGTTTCTGCTGAGAAGTCTGATGTTAGCCTGATTGGCTTTCCTTTGTATGTGATCTTATTTCTCTCTCTGGCTGCTTTTAGAAGTCTGTCCTTATCCTTGATCTTTGCTGTTTTAATTACTATATGTCTTGGTGTTGTCTTCCTTGGGCCCCTTGTGTTGGGAGATCTGTCACTGTCCATGGCCTGACAGACTATCTCCTTCCCCAGTTTAGGGAAATTTTCAACAATTACCTCCTCAAAGACACTTTCTATCCCTTTTTCTCTCTCTTCTTCTGGTACCCCTATAATGCGAATATTGTTCTGTTTGGATTGGTCACACAATTCTCTCAATATTCTTTCATTCTTAGAGATTCTTTTTTCTCACTGTGCCTCAGCTTCTTTGTATTCCTCTTCTCTAATTTCTGTTCCATTTACCATCACTTCTACTATATCTAATCTGCTTTTAAATCCCTCTGTTATACATTTCATTTCAGGTATGGAATTTCTTAATGATTGAATCTCTGTCTTAAATTCGTTCCTGAGTTCTTAAATATTTTTCTGTACCTCCATAAGCATGTTTACGATTTTTATTTTGAGCTCTCTTGCAGAAAGATTGGTGAGTTCAGTTTCTTTGGTCCTTTTTCTAGGGTTTGTGGGATTTTTGTTTGAACCAGGTTCTTTTGATGTTTCATATTTTTATGTGTTGCCCTCTAGTGCCCAGAAGCTCCAGTCTCTGGAGCTGCTCAGCCCCTAGAGTGAGGTTAGGGGTGGTAGAGGAGTGGTGCTGGTGCCTGGGGGGGGAAAGAGCTGTTTCCTGATTCCCGTCTGTGGTGCCTATCTCCAGTGTCAGAGCCAGTGAGCCCAGGTCTTGGTGTTCAGCAGTCCCAGGCCTCCACCCGCTCCCCTGCTCCATTTTTCTTCCTCCTGCCAGTGAGCTGGGGTGGGAGAAGGGCTCGGGTCCCGCCAGATCAAGGCTCTGGTATGTTACCCTATTTTGTGAGATCTGCTCTGTTCATGAGGTCTGCTCTGTTTGTGAGGTCTGTATGCAGTCTGGTTCAGCCTTCTTTCCTGTTGCTGTTTTTGGGTTAGTTGTATTAATTAAGTATATTGTCATACTATTTGTGGTTTTGGGAGTTCTCTGTCTCACCTCCCACGCCGCCCTCTTGAATCCCTTAAACTACTTGCAATAGTACGGTGTTCTAATTTCTCCATGACATCTGTTTCACCTTCTGTCTTCTAAATCTGCACTTTCTTCCAGTGATTAACAGCAGCATGCCCAGTGAGTCCAGGCTGGATAAATGAATCCAGTTTGATGTGCTAATGTGCATGAAATGACACTGTGGCTGATGCAAGAAGTAAATCTGGGATCTGACCCTGGGGCCATGTTATAATCTCTGATTGCACTTCCTCTTCTGGTGTGATTTCAGTGTTACTTGTACCTGTTCTACAGTCCAGCCAGGACTCTGAAGGTGGTGCTGATGCTTCTCTTTATTTGCCTGGGCAACGTGTACCTGCATGGGCTGAGGAACCTCTGGCAAATCCTCTTCCACACAGGAGTGGCTTTTCTGTCTTCATATCAGATCCTGACGAGGCAGCGTCAGGAGAAGCAGTCTGGTTGTGGAGTGTGAGGATGGCGTCGCATGATGAATGGATCCTTGGCTTTCCTCCGAGGGCCATCTGTGTTTCCCTTTTTGTTGTCAACTTTACCTCAAGTTTATTTTTTCTTTCTTTGTTTTTGAAGAATGATGTAAAACTTTATTGAGAGAATTTTAACAGTTAAATATCCAGCATAAGAACAGTCTGCATGGTTTCAGCTCGACTCTGTTTAACCCCATGGTTGCCCTTTGCCTTGAACCACAGGTGCTTCATCATATTCTTTGCTCTGATCAGGTGTAATAGCCTGGCTCTCAGCTGGTGGCTCCTCTTGTTGAGGCAGCTCACCATTGGTCTTCTGGTCAACCACTGGTCCATCCAGCTGGGCAGACTCTTGATCATGTCCTTTTCCTCTAGATTTGGATCTTGATTTCATATGCCTGCTCATATTTCACACAGTTGAATCTCAGCTAATGAGAAAGAATCCGGACAGAGGGAACAGGACCACCTCTGACTCAGCTCTTCTTGCCAGTTCTGACAAAGGCCGACTTTACCTCAAGTTTCCATCCTTGAAGTTCTTTTGACCACACTGGACTGATACCAAGAATTGAGGATGTTTACCAGGTGCAGTTGAAGGCATGAGGCTGCTTAATACCTGGTCCTCATATTGTGCTGAACATTACTGCAGAATCTCCAGTTCACATTTACTTATGACAGCAGAATTTGGGGGCTCATTCAGAAGTAGCATTATTTGAAGATCAGAATGGAATTATTTTGGTCTTTTAAATTGGATGATTCAATAAACCACTAGATTCAGTAACACTAGTTTTAGTAATTGGCAGTTATCTAGAGGAACCACTTTAAAAACCTGTATCAACTTTCAGTCCAAATGTGACTCAGGTAGTTTTTTTTATTTTTCAGAGGGTCAGGACAGGGTGAATTAAAAAACTTAAAAATATGGTTCATAAATATAAGCTAGGTAAATTTTGTTTATGTTTTTTGGTAACTTAGGTCTGATACAATACCTTTAGAATGTTTAAATGCATTTTAGATATAAATTGAGCATATCTTCATTTAGGAAAAGGGCAGACTTAAGCTGAGAAAGTAGTTTAAAAAGTTGAGTTTATTTAATTTATAAAAAACTTTTTATGGTGGTGAGGCTGTGTGGGTACAGAAATGTTTTGTATTTATTTGCAGGGTTTATATGAATATTTAAAAAATTAATTGAGTAACCAGTGCTACTGGATCAAAAGCTTATAAGCATGAGTAGAAATGAGAATTTCAGGATTCCTTGCAGTGGGCCACAAACTGGCGTAAGCAAATCACACAAATTCACGCAATGTCACTTTACAGATGCAGGTGGGAGTGGCTGTTGTCATTAGCCTTGTACATGCAGCTGAGTGCCTGTCATTGCAATGCTGATGAGTATTTGACTCCGTGGACCTCTTCGGAAGACTTCCCAAACTAATTACTCCTCTACACCTTTCTCTATTACCTCAATTAGTCCAAGGGCCTAATTTTTTGTGAACAAAATTAAGTAGGTTTTACCTTTCTTTAAAGCTTTATAAAGATGATTAACCCTATGTTCTAAAAAGTTACTTTTCTTTCTCTTATTGTCAAAATATCGATTGATCATAGTTTTCCAAAATGTGAATCTCAGTAAGCTCCCTTAGGTCTCCAAAAATTTCATCCTGGGCCATCCAGGACCATTCAGGAGGCCGTTTCAGGAGTGTGCCCCCTGCACTGTTCTTGGTAGAAGTCTGAAGTCTGAGCAGCTCAACCACAATTGCATGGAATACTTTCGGTTGAATTATGATGTCTTGATAAATTAAAAAATCCTATTTTGCTAGTTTTTAAAAGTTGAGAACCATTGCAAGAAGTTATTGAGTATTGTGGGGAAAGCAAGAACTTATTTTAGGGAATTCAGTTGTTGGTTGTTACTGGTGGTGTATTTTTGTTTATCTACCTTGATATTACTTCAAGAAAAACAAGTTCATGTGACTGGGAGCTGTTGAGAAAATGTTGCCACAGTAATTTTATTTTCTTATAATAGAATTTTCTATTTTTAATCAAACATAAAATCTGGATATGAAAGTTAGATTGTCCACATCCTCACATATAAACTTCAGAGCTTTCTCTCTGTGGATTTTGCATCCTCATGATTTTCTGCATATCTAGGAGGTGAATTTTCAGTCTTTCTAGGAGATAATTCTGAAGGTAGCAGAATAGAATGGAAAGCCAAGGAGGGGAGACACATCCTTTTATATTAGAAGCGCACACACATGCAAGCTTTAAAAGTTGGTAAGAAGAGCTTACAAGTGAATTGTTTCTTTTTGAGCCCATGTGCTCTTGGTGTTGCTGTGTGCCCTGTACCCCAGACGCTCTGGGTCTGAGCCTGTGATCCACACTCAGCAAATAGGAAAGAACAGTCCTTGAAGAGGAGTCCTCCTGTGAAAGCTTCTTGCATTGGTGGAGGTGTTACCCATACTTGGTTGAATGTGGTCTTAGTTAACATCTTCATGGGTCTGAGATTTACAAACAAAAGGAAAAGGATGCACTGGATAAGCTACAAGATAATGACTGGATGGACACTGACTGAAATCCTCCTCACTGCACAAAGGAAGACACGAATGATAGGAAAGAAGTGGAGATTTCATCTGAAGGAATTCCTGGGCTCAGGTGGCCTTGGTTCAGGCCTGAAGTTCTGTGGGCCCCTGTGTCACCTGTGATGCCAGGATCTGGCTCTGCATCACAGGGATCATTCTTATTCCACCATGGACTCCCTGCTGCTCAGTGACCTTTGTCTTCCCAGTGGTTAAATGCTGCCTTCCCAGCTGGCTTCACAAGGCTAGGTCTGGAAGTAGATGAAATAGTGTTGGAAACAAAACTTCAAAGTGCCTTCTGGTATCAGATGCTGCATGGTCTTGACTGGCAGGGTGTGTGATCTCATTTCTATCAGGGCAGGGATGTGACTCCAGGGCTCCTGGGCAGGGGTTCCCTTTCCCCAAGGACACTAGTGAAGGAGCCTGTGCACTCTGGTTTTCTTTTCTCTGGGCTGGCCTCACTGTGACAGGGACCATTCCTGGTTTCTGTCTCCTAGGGGGAGATAAGTCAGGGCCTGTTTGGGACACTGGAGGCTCTGCTGCCTGCAGGAGAGGGAATGTGCCCACGGGCTCCCGGGTTTGTTTTGCAGTCTTGGGCCCTTGTGATCCCTGAACTCTGTTGATAGGCACTGTGAATCAAGGCCCAACATTTTAAAGTTCCTTAAGGGGTGGGAAAAAGGGTGTTGAGAGGAAGGCTGAAATGAAAACACTTACTCATCAGTTCTACCAGCTTCACCTTGAGCTCCCTGTTCATCTTCTAGGTTCCCCATTCTCCAGGTCTCTCCTGCCTCTTTCCACCTATGTCCCACACCCTCCATCCCTGGGGACGCCACTGAAACTGGAGTTTCTGGAGGGACGGGAAGGCCACCTTTAACTGTAATCACTGGGGTGGGTACAGGATCTTCAAGGAGCAGATGGCGCTGAGGCACTCACTGCCCCCTTGTCCTGCTCACCCTATGAGCTCTGCACACACCTAGGAGTTGGGTGTCAGAGGGGAGTAGCACTTCGGTGGTCAGCACTGCTCACAGCCAAAGGTGACAGCCAGCAAGGCCTGCTGTTTGGAGCCCAGGAAGTGGGGGATAGTTGGGGAGCAGAGCTGGGGGCTCTGTATCTGCTGTAAGACATCAGCTGCCCCTTAGCATTTCAGGGGCACATGCTGTACCTTCATCCAGGGCTGCCATTTGCTGTTTCTTGAAAGGATTGGCCACTCATTGTAAAATGCGGACAGGTGGCCCTCAGAGAACCTGCTGCTTGCACAGTGCAGCACAGGTGAGGAGCTGCAAGGATGGGAGTGTTTGTGGTGACCACATGTGCACCCCTGCTCTGCATTGCTCACATTCCAAATGTTTCTACACAGAATCCTGCCCAGGTTCAGGGACACTCCACATGTGGACTGTGGCTGTTCATAATGGTGGAAGAAAAGAGAGCAGACGAGGGGGAAGGAATGCCTTGGTCAGCTGGCTGGGAGGCCTGGAGATCAGCTTGGCCCTTCCATTGGGTCTTGACCACAGTGGGCAAGTCATTGCCCATCGGCCCAATGTCCTCATCTGGAAATAGGATAAGGTCAACTTGCTCTCCTGGAATGTGGTCATGAGGACAAAAGTCTAGTGGAGGAGAACACTGGGTGAATCCCTGGTTCTTGTGCAGGAAGAGAGAGGTTTTGAGTTTACCTGATACAGATGTTCTGCATGCTTCAGTAAACAGGGCGCAGCCATGTCTTCTGGCTGTTACAAAAAGGGCCTTTTGTGATGCTGCAAGGTACATGGGCTCATTCTTTCACTCCAGAAAGGTAGCAGCCTCTCTTCCTCCTCTTGGACCTGGCTTCTGCCTATCCAGGCACAGAGCCCTTGATACCACTGCTGTTGAGTCCTCCAGGGCCAGGAAAGCCAGTTCTGGTTCCACCAAACCTCAGGTATATCCCTGACCCAAATGAGAAGAGCTCTGATTCTCACATCTGGAGCAGTGATGTCAGACTTCTGTTGCTGGGGAAACATCATTGGCAGGGAACCTGTGGAACGGGCTTGCCAGTGAAATCTGGGAATGGCCGGATATGGAAACATCTGTCTGTGTGTACTGACGGCAGAGCTACTGCCCACAGTCTCTTAGTTAGTGTAAAATTATCAAATCCATTTTGTTCCTCTAACCTGGGCTTGATAAATATGATCTTTAACTTATATATGATTCCAGGGTTGCTTCATAAATAATTAATGAATTATTCATATGACTTGACCCCCCAGGATTCTGTTTTGTTTAATGGACTTTTATACTAAGAGCATAAAAGATTGAGGCTAATTTAGCCAGGGCCAAACCATTTACTTCACATGCTCATTTTGAATGCTTGCTGTGACACAAGCTTCTTAACTGTTTTCATGTAATAACAAAGATCTATTTTGAGTAAATGATAGGTATGTTTTAACAAACTTTCACACAGTAGTAAAGCCTAAACTTGTGTTATGTATGTAAAGAATGTTGTTTAGCTCTTTATATACAATGTATATATAAATTAAATGAGGTGGCTTCAGAAGTGGGAGGAGAATAAACCTAAAGGTGCTTATTAATCTGTGTGTTTGTGTGGAAAATTGTGAATTGTGGGTCCATTTTCCTAGGCAGTGTGCCATGGTCCTGGCATAATGAGAGGGAGGTGTCGAGAGAAGTGGACTTCAGGTCCTCTTGCTCAGTGAGGTCTAGACAGGTGCAAGGGCTCAAAATGGTCCTCAACACTTATCCCCAGACTATGGAATGCAATCACGGATCCAGGGAAGACCTTGGAAAAACCAAAATCACAGTCATGGCTCTGCCTTGGGGACTGGGAGGCCTGCCTCCTATGCCAGCTCTGCCCCCGCCTGGCCATGTGCCCTGGGCCGGCACTTTCCTGGCTCTGGGTTCCTGTCTGTGCTCTTGAGAGTGAGGGAGCTTTCATCCCCTAGGATGAGCCCCAGCACAAAATGGCCACCAGGGGGCGCGGCTGCCAGCCACACCGTCGGGTTCCCAGCCCCGGGGAGTGTGCCTTTTTGCAGAGAACATTTCTGTAGCAGCTGATAAAATTCCCAGAAAGGAAACAACTGCACTAACCTCGCCTGACCATGCTGTAAACACATTGGGGAATGCATGCTCCAAGCTTCTCTCCACCATCTGTCCTGAATGCACATCTTTTGGAGGAAGGCAGAGACGTCCAAAACAGATATCTGAGTTACCGGGTTCTGGGATTTGGGAGTCAGCAAAGCCTTTAGATACCGTCTCGTTCAACCACCTTGCTCAGGTGGGGAAGTTGAGGTCTGTCCTAGGGAGCCAGTGACAGCTTTGCCTGGAGCTCTGTCCCCTGGGCTGGGCGCAAGGTGCTTTCTGCTATTGGCAGCACCCACAAGGAATAAAAGGGGATCTTGGTGCATGAAGGGTGCCCTTTCTGTGCTGGGGGGTGGGGAGCTGGGTTCCCTTCAGGCTGATGAATTGCCTTCCTTTTTCTCAGGCTCTACCCGTATGTGGGGGGCAGGTAGCAGAAGGGCTGCCTGGAAGCTGCCAAACTGTGTGTGGGGTGGGGATGTGTGAGGCTCAGAGAGAAGGGGCCTATCTGGGTTCCCCTGGCAGGGAGGTGCTCCCTGCCTGCTGAGTCAGCTCGCAGGCACCACTGGCCCAGGTGTGCAAGGCAAAAACTGTAAAGTTCACTGGAGAATATGAAGGAGGGTATCTGTTACCTGGGTTGGAAAAGTGCTTCTTAAACAAAAATGTCACAGGCACAGACAACCCCAAAGGCAAACTGACTAATGAATTTGATTACACACAAATAAGAATTTCAGGGGTAAATTTAAAAGAATGGAAGAAGATATTTACAATGTCTGAAACGAATAAGGAATTAATATATAAGCAATTACTGTAAATCAGCAAGAAAGACGACAATCCCAACAGAAAAATGAGCAATTTGCAGAAAACTCAAAAAGCAAGTGAATGAAAATGGTAAAAATCACTAGAAATCCAAAGAAATACATATTAAAACAAAGGTAAGGTACCACCTTATGCCTATTTGGCAAAACTTAGAAAGCTGCATGGCACTGAGTGTTGGAGGGAGTGTGGGGATATAATGGGCTTGGTGTACAGCCAGTATGCTAGAGCAATGCTACTGTTTAGGGCTGAATTGTATTCTCCTCAAATTCATATAGTGGAGTCCTAACCCCAGGACCTCAGAATGTGGCTGTCTTTGGAGATAAGGCCATTAAGGAGGTAATTAAGGTAAAATGAGGTCATATGGGTGCGCCCAAATCCAGTATTACTGGTGTCCAGTAAGCACAGACACAGAGAGCAGACCATGGCAAAGCACAGTGAGAAGGCAGCCATCTTCAAGCCAAGGAGAGAGGCTTCGAGAAACCAACCCTGCTGACATCTTGCCCTCTGGCTTCTTGCCTTCAGAAATCAGCAAGAAAATAAACTTCTGTTCATCAATCTAGTCAGATACTGGTACTTCATTATGGCAGCCCTAGCAAATTAATACAGCTACCTATCCAAATTTAGTGTGCATATATCTCATAATGTAGACATGTCACTCCTGGTTATATGTCCCTGGGACATCCTTACACAGATCCTTAAGGGGACATGTATGAAGATAAATTTTACTGAAGTATTATTTGTGTTGGCTTAAAGCAATCTGTGTGTCTATCACGGACACATAAAGTGTGCAGGCTCACCACTGAGCACCATACAGCCGGCAGAAGTACCAGATTTAAATGTAGCATAGCATGAATGGATTTTCAAAATGTAGAACTGAGTGAAAAATAACAGTTATATGATTAGAAATATATGCACACAAAATGATAAAATATTTTTTAAGAATGTATTTTAAGAGATCCATGTTAATTACATCTGAATGGTTACCTCCAAGGGGCCAGGAGCATGGGTGTTAGGGATCTATAATAAGGAATTAAAAAAAGAAAAAGAGGGCTTGCCAGAGTCATCAGTTAGGTCAGAGCCCTGGGAGAATCCGGGGGCCTGCAAGGCCCTTGGAGATCTTGCAGCCCTGACTGGACTTGAGAAAGCTGAGGAGGCTGCCTCTGGGGGGCTCCTTGCAAAGCCCCACATGCTGCCAGAGTGCATTTAAGCCTCCAGGGCTTGTCCAGTGGGCACAAGGCAGGGAGACCAAAGCTGAGGCCAGCACCTGTAATAGTCAGAAGGGCCTCGGGAACCCACGAGGGAGGAGTCTCAGAGATGACAGCCGGCTCTGGCCGCTAGGGACCCTCCTTCCCAGACCCAGTGTGTCTGGCCAGCAGTTTCCTGGCAGACTCCCACATGAAGCACTCAGCTGCAGGCCTCTCATGGGGACAAGGACATAGCTGCAGGAGACAGAGGTGCCCCGACAGCAAGGTCTTCCACCCCTGACAGCTTCTTCTGGTCACAGAGCTGACAGTGCGAGCCTGGGGAAGAGAAGCTGGCGGGGCTGGGGCTGGGGCATCTGAAGGAGACCAGGACCACTGTTACTCTAAGGGGTTGTTCCGGACCAATTTCCTGAGGCCCCAGGGATTAGAGCAAGGGCCAGAGCAAGGAACACAGGGCCAACATGAAGATGAACTTTCTCATAGGGCTGTCCAATAGGGCCCGGGCGGACAGCATCCCACAGTGACGGTGTGCATGCGGAGAGTGTGTAGGATGGGACCTTGGGACATGCTGTCTCCATCTCGAAGACATGGTCTCGGCCTGGATGCTGGTGTCCAAGGGGACATGTGCCTGTCTTCTGGAGTGCCTCCTGTTGTGTCCATCCCATGGGGCAAGCCAGACTCCAGTCACAGGAAACAGCTTGTGCCAGCTCTCATTTGAAGAGTAAATATTAGTCTTTTCAAGAGGTGCCTGTTCTCTGTCACTTGGCACTGAGGACACTGAAAGGGGTGGGAGGGAAACCTTTTGGTCTGCACGCCCAGAGGATATCTGTGTGCCGGGCCACTTCTGCAACACAGGGCCCAAGAAATGAGCCTCCCCACATCTGGGAGCATCTCCCACTCGCTGGGCAAGGGTAAGCCCAAGAGCCCCCACCTTGGGGAGATTTTCATGGTGCTGAGGCCCCAAGCCCCTGTATGTTCCCTTCACATCCTGTCCGGGCTGCTGCTGCAGAGGCAGGGGACTGCATGTTTTGACTTGGACCTCGAGATCTCTGGGCCCCGGCTGTGATACGTATGGTTTCAGTCGTGATGACCAGGAGAGGGAATGACCTGCTCTTGACCCAGTGCCACTCCTTGGGGAGACCTCCTCTGACCGCCCTGACTGACAGGGCACCCCGTTACTCTATCTCTGCATTTCACCTTTTCTCTTCTCTCGTTTTCCTCATTTACTGCCCGACTCCTCCATTAGAGCATCAGCCAGGAGGGCAGGGCCCCTGCTGTGTTCTCAGGGCATTCATGTGTGCACATAGGAAGTGTTCACTGACTGTTTGCTCTTTGAATATAATGGCATTCATATTCTAAAAATATTAAGCCAACATCATTCTCACCCCCCAAGCCCTGAAACTTCCTTGAAGCCACTCCACCGTGATGACCCAGGGAAGGCCTGGGGCAGGTGGATGCCGTCTCAGAAGGAAGGTGGGAGCGGGGGAGAGGAGCCCACCCTCAGCGAGTGGGTGGTGAGACGGGAGAGGGGAAGGGTCCTCAGACACGTGTCCTGGTCATCCTCTGCAAGGGAATCTTGATTGGAAAACAACTGAAACCTGAATATGAAGGGGGTATGGGTCCCAGCCTGCTTTAGGTGGCCCTGCCAGGCAAGCCACAGGGCAGAGGTTGGTTGCTGAGCTGGAACTGCTGGGCCTGTCATGGCACTGCCATAGCCAATGGTGAGTGAGGGCAGCTCACCCCCAAGGCAGGACAGAGCCATGGCTGAGACTGGAGGGGCGTGAGGGGCCCGAGTGATCCAGTGTGGGGCTGGGCTGGCCAGGGCAGGCTCAGGGCTCTTGCCACAGCAAGCGTCCATGAGGGCCCTGGTCATGGAGAGCAGCACCAGGACCTCTGTGGGGTTCCTTCTCTGTGCCGCCAGAATCGGTCTCTCAGCCTTGTGTCTGATTGGCCTGCCTCTGCAAGCTCCTCCAGGAGTACCGTCCAGTCAGCACCTCATCTGTCCCCCAGAGCTGTCCCCTTATGCCCCAGAGTGCCTATGAGACGTGGTGTGGGACACTCACACGTGCCAAACCGAGAGGTATGAGGGCCTCGGCATGGGCAGACCCTGAGCAATAGATGGTGGGAGCCCCAGTCAATGCTGGCCTGTCCCTCAGGAGGCTGGGTCTGAGGCATGTTCTGTGGGCTCCTCAGAGGGTCCCGGGGGAAATGAGCTCCTGCTGCCGCAACAGTGACCAGCTCAGTGAGCAGCCTTCATCTGGGCTCTGCTCATTGCCCTGTTCTAGACTCCTCTGTTCGCACTCCTGCTTCCTGGTCACTGGCTCTTGTCCCAGGCCCTGCTTTCTGGAGACTCAGGCTGCAAGACCACTGCTCTGTGCTAGAAATGATCTGTTGGCACCTGGCATGCCTGTCTGGCCCCTCCCATAGTCCCCTGTGTTTTGGGGGCTACCCTTCTCAGCCCCTCTTGCTGCTAGGGA